AACAATTCAGTGTCTAGGACAGTGTTTCTCAACCTTGGCAACTTGAAGATGTCCGGACTTCAACTCCCAGAATTCCCCAGCCAGCATTCACGTATAAACAATTCAGTGTCTAGGACAGTGTTTCTCAACCTTGGCAACTTGAAGATGTCCGGACTTCAACTCCCAGAATTCCCCAGCCAGCATTCACGTATAAACAATTCAGTGTCTAGGACAGTGTTTCTCAACCTTGTCAACTTGAAGATGTCCGGACTTCAACTCCCAGAATTCCCCAGCCAGCATTCGCTGGCTGGGGAATTCTGGGAGTTGAAGTCCGGACATCTTCAAGTTGACAAGGTTGAGAAACACTGTCCTAGACACTGAATTGTTTATACGTGAATGCTGGCTGGGGGATTCTGGGAGTTGAAGTCCGGACATCTTCAAGTTGACAAGGTTGAGAAACACTGTCCTAGACACTTCCCCATCCCAGCCACTCCTCTCCATAGGTTTCAGCCTCCAGCCACCCCCCCAATCGCCACTGTTCCTCTTCTCTGCACTCCTTCTGGAGCAGGGCTGTCAAACTCTCTTCCACCGGGGGCCGCACCAGAGTTGTGTTTGAGCTTTTTGCAGGGGGGGGGGCAGAGTGGGCGTGGCCAACTCATCTCTCGCGTCGAGGGCGCAGGTGGTGGCCCAGGTGCTCTGCCAGAGAAAACGGGCTCCCGAGCTCCGTTTTCAGCTTCGACGGCCTCCTGCAGCCAACCGTCAGAGAAAACGGAGCTGGAGAGGCCCCCCCCGCCCCCCTCCCGAGCTCTGTGTTCACCGGCAGAGGCACCGCGGGCCCCTCCTTCGCTCTTTCCAGAGCCTGATCTAAGCAGCCCACGGGGGGCATCCCGCTTGCGGCCTTCGGTTTTACACCCTTGTTGTCTTTTTTTTTTAATATCGTGGTGCCCAAAGGAGGAGGCAACCTTCCCCCCCCACCCCCCCGGTCTGACCTCATCAACGCCGGACGAAGTGCTGCTCGCCCTTCGGAGGGGGTGGGGGGCTTGCTGTCAAGTGACCTTCCAGAGACGCTTCCTGGTCCTTGGGCTGCCTGCCTTGCGCCCCCAGTCCAGCTTTGGGGGCAGGGTGGCTCCTCCCCCGCCCCCCCTGGAAAGCGAGGAGGGCTCCTACCTCTCGCAGACGCGCACCGTCCAGGCGGCGATGATCCAGGAGGAGATGCTGAAGACCAGCAGGACGGTGCCGGGGCAGATGGTCATGAGGGTCTTCATGACGAAGCGGGTGTTGAAGTTGATCTTGTTGAGGGCGCCGATGCTGCGCGAAGAGGCGTCGGTGAAGAGCTTGCTGTGCAGGAGCATCACCCGCCCGATCAGGTAAAGGCGCAGGAACATGGGGATGGAGAGGGTGATGTCCACGTCCGTGCTGGCCTCCGAGGTGGCGTAGGTGAAGGCCAGCCGGGTGGTCCAGGTGAAGACGTACTGGCCGGGGATGGGGTGGATGGCGCAGACCAGCAGCTCCAGGGAGATGAAGAAGATGCGCTCGTAGGTCATGGCGATGCGCCAGTCGTCCGCCCCGTTGTCCACCATGAAGAGCTGGGCGGGGCACAGAGGGCGGTCAGAAGGGGGGGCAGAGGGGCCTCCGTCCCCGGAGCTCTCATGGATAGGGGGCATGTGGGGTTCAGAGATGGGGAGATTTGGGCAGCAGAAAGGAGCCATTCCCAGCCAAGCAGACCAGGCCGAGGGCGGTCAGCAGGGGCAGGCCGAGGCAGGACAAAAGCCCGACCGAATCATCCTCTGCTGCCCCTCAGTTGCCCCCAGGGAACCCAACGAGAGAAGCTCAAACCCGGTTTGTTTTAAGAGGCGGCGACACCCGCAGCTGCCTCCCCCCAACCCACAGGGCCCCCAAACCACGAGGCGCTTCAGTGCCTGCCTGGCACCCGTCCGGGGCAAGGAGGGCCAGGGGCAGCCCTGCCGGAGCCTCCGCCTCTCCCTGGACCAGCTTCCCCCCCACCCCGTCCCCCCACCCTGGAGCACAGCCCTCTGCCCCTCCCTGGGCCCGGCTGCTGCTGGCAGAGGCCCCCACCTCCTCCTCCTCCTCCTGCTCCTCACCTGGATCTCCCGGGCGTGGTACATGATGATCAGCCCCAGGAGGATGGCAGTGGAGAGGCTGATGAGGCATTTCAGGGCAAAGGAGTAGGAAGAATCCTGGAAGGAGAGATGGAGAGAGTGGAAGAGACGGAGGGAGGGAGGCAGGCAGGAGCCACACAGTCTCCCCATCCTGTGGGTGGGACTCCACACATTTGGGGGGGGGAGTGATGGGAGGGGGGCTGAAGCCAAGGCAATATCCTGGCAGTCAGAGGGGGGTGAGTTGAGCAAGGAGCCTGACGGAGGGAGGGAGGAGGGAGGAAAGAAGGAAGGAAAGAAGGAAGGACGGAAGACAGGAAGGAAGGAGAAATAATTCTATGTCAGGCCTCATTTGTCAAACAAAACCTTGAAATGTGTGTATCCCTTTGATGCCATCAAGAGACAATCTGGATTTTTGCAATGTACCCGCCTTGAATTGGCCAAGTGAATTGGCCTTTTATGAAAAAAGAAACTTCAGGCAAAACACAAACATAAACAATAATGAGAGATATTTTTCCAGTCTCCAAAAAACAGAAAGATTTCAAACGGGCATGGGGGGTTAACATAATCTCTGGATTTTTTTCTACATTTAGTGTGTATAATGAGCTTTACAGCCACACGCATTTAATAGGGCTATATTTTAGATGTAGATAAAATTTCAAGAGATTGGCCAAAACTTTCTGTTTTTTGGAGACTGGAAAAATATCTCTCATTATTGTTTATGTTTGTGTTTTGCCTGAAGTTTCTTTTT